ATTGTATAAAACTGGGACATGCAAAACTTATAAAGAAAAACTAAATTTTATGTCTCCACTCAAATTTGGGGTAAATTTTCCTGGTATTTTTTCCTCTGGGGTATGATTTCAAATGATATTATGTGTATACTTTGTATGTCCTTTGGATTTGTTTTTCCTTCCCAAATATAAACCACTATATTATATGATATTAAAAATATGTTATTTAATGCCATATAAAATTATACTCACTAAAACAATTCTCTATTTTTGAACATTGTGTTTTTCTAATTTTTGACTATGAAAAAGAACAATAAAATGTATTTATACTTAATCTATGCTTCCACTCTATTTGCTTAGAAATAGAATTACTAGCTGAAAAATCTGAAAGTTTTGAAGTTACTTGATAATATTTTCAAATATCCTTTCATAAAGATGACATTGCCTTTCTTCCTAATGGCTAGTAGGACTGCCAGTAACAGAAAGGAAGCCTTATCAAAGTTAAATGTCTTAAGCTTTTGTCATTATGGTAGGAAAAATATTTTATCTTTTTAATTTGAATGGTTAGATTGAAGTTTTTCTATGAATTGCCTTCACGGTGATCTCTACTTTTATTGAAATAAGTAATTTCTTTGCTTTTTATTTTTTAATAAGTAATTTCTTTAAATGTACTCTGTTGAATCGATGTTTTAGTAATGTTGTATCTTAGTAATATGTTACAATATGTATCATAATTGACTATATAGGATATTTTTCCATATAATAGATATACTTATAGTTTTTAAAGAACATACATTTAATGTTGTGAAAGAGGCTGCATCAGTATGTTTATTACAGTATTTTGTTGTATTTGTAATAACTAGCTCAATCTTTCAAAACCTTAGTCATTTTAGGATTTATTTCCGTCTGACTCACTGGGAGAGAAGGAAGATCTCACAAGTTCATTGATATTTTCCAATTGGTAACATTTTATAAAGTCATCTTATTATTTTCCTCTGATATTGCCATCACTAATGCACTTAATGTAGGTAGAAGTATTTTCAATAAGGCTATTTTAGAAACTTACAGAAACACACAACATACATAACATGCTTCTTACTAGTATTCAGTATACTTTATAGCCTCAGCTGTTCATAAAGATCTTGGCAGTTTCCAAAAGTCTCCCAGTCATACTAATGTCAAAAAAAAAAAAAAAATAGAGAGAAATGAGGGTCCAGGGTGTCTGTACTCTCTTGGATCTTAATGCAAAAAGTGGAAATATGAAATTACAAATAATGATAACAGGTCTAAGCAGGAAGAAAATCAAAATACTGAAAATGGGTAAAATCTGCTCCCTTTTTTCCTTGTCAAATAAATGTAAAATTCATCTACTGGGATCTGACTCTATTCTGTACTTACTTGCTGAGAGGCCTTGGACATACTGCTTTACTTTTCTCTGGAAACTAATTTCTTCATTTATAATATTGGGTTTAAAAAAATCTCCTTTACAAAGTTAATATAAATATTAAAGAAAAGTATATAAGGAATCTGTCACTTAAAATAGGGTTTTCTACATATTAGATGTTCAACAAATGATGACAACTGCTACTATAATTCTGCTACTACAATTTCTACTACAAAGCTACTACCACAACTATTTATATTTGAATTTCTTAATTTCTTTGAAATGTTGTTCACTTGGCTATCTCAAAAGATACTTTAAAACTTGTGTAAGATCTATTTTTTAAAATATATATTTTATTACACTTTAGGTTCTGGGGTACATGTGAAGAACATGCAGGATTGTTGCATAGGTACATATATGGCAATGTGGTTTGCTGCCTCCATCCCCATCATCTATGTCTGGCATTGCTCCCCATGTTATCTCTCCCCAACTGCCTACCCGCTGCTGTCTCTCCCCTAGTCCCCCCTCAACAGACCCTAGTGTGTGATGCTCCCTTCCCTGTGTCCGTGTGTTCTCATTGTTCAACACCCACCTATGAGTGAGAACATGGCTGTTTGATTTTCTGTTCTTGTGTCAGTTTGCTGAGAATGATGGTTTCCAGGTTCATCCATGTCCCGACAAAGGACGTGAACTCATCGTTTTTTATGGCTGCATAGTATTCCATGGTGTGTATGTGCCACATTTTCCCTGTCCAATCTATCATCAACAGGCATTTGGGTTGGTTCCAAGTCTTTGCTATTGTAAACAGTGCTGCAATGAACATACATGTGCATGTGTCTTTATAATAGAACAATTTATAAGCCTTTGGATATATACCCAGAATGGGATTGCTGGGTCAAATGGAATTTCTATTTCTAGGTCCTTGAGGAATCACCACACTGTCTTCCACAATGGTTAAACTAATTTACAGACCCACCAACAGTGTGAAAGTGTTCCTATTTCCTCACATCCTCTCCAGCATCTGTGTTGTCTCCAGATTTTTTAATGATCACCATTCTACCTGGCTTCAGATAGTATCTCAATGAGGTTTTGATTTGCATTTCTCTAACGACCAGCGATAATGAGCATTTTTTCATGTTTGTAGCCTCATATATATCTTCTTTTGAAAAGTGTCTGTTCATATCCTTTGCCCACTTTTGAATGGGTTTGTTTGTTTTTTTCTTGTAAATCTGTTTTAGTTCTTTATAGATTCTGGTTATTAGCCCTTTGACAGATGGGTAGATTGCAAAAGTTTTATTCCCATTTTGTCGGTTGCTGGTTCATTCTAATGATTGTTTCTTTTGCTGTACAGAAGCACTGGCTTTTAATTAGATCCCATTTGTCTATTTTGGCTTTTGTTGCCAATGCTTTTGCTGTTTTACTCGTGAAGTCCTTGCCTATGCCTACACACAGCAGTGTAACTGCGAGTTGAATGCACACATTGACAACCTTTCTCCCGGATAGCTTCCTTTGAGATTTTTAAGGTGAGAGATTTTTCATTATAGCATATGCCCACTTTCCATCTGGAATGAACGAATCTAGCTTCTGTAAGAAAAGGGTTTCTAACCTGCTGAATCGAAACACAGATGCCCTGAATGGTTTTGCCTAGGTTTTCTTCTAGGATTTTTATGGTGTTAGGTCTTATGTTTAAGTCTTTAATCCATCTGGAGTTAATTTCAGTGTAAGGTGTCAGGAAGGGGTCCAATTTCTGATGGACCAGTTTTCCCAACACCATTTATTAAACAGGGAATCCTTTCCTCATTGCTTGTTTTTGTCTGGTAAAACAAAAACAAACAAAACAAACAAAAACAAACAAAGATCAGATGGTAGTAGATATGTGACATTGCCTCCGAGGCCTCTGTTCTGTTCTATTGGTCTATATCTCTGTTTTGGTACCAGTACCATGCTGTTTCGATTACTGTATCCTTGTAGTATAGTTTGAAGTTAGGTAGCGTGATGCCTCCAGCTTTGCTCTTTTTGCTTAGAGTTGATTTGGCTATGCAGGCTCTCTTTTGGTTTCATATGAAGTTTAAGGTAGTTTTTTCCAGTTCTGTGAAGAGGGTCGTAGGTAGCTTGATGGAGATAGTGCTGAATCTATAAATTACTTTGGGCAGTATGGCTATTTTCACAATACTGATTCTTCTTAACTATGAGCATGGAATGTTTTTTCATCTGTTTCTGTCCTCTTTTATTTCCTTAAGCAGTAATTTTGTAGTCCTTTTCTAAAATATCTTGATCATTACACATCCCTGTAGAATAAACAGTAGAGGGGTTAACTATCTCAGTTTTATAGATATGGAAACTAAGTTTCAAAGATGGTAAGTGGTAGGACTAGACCCCAAATTTTTGTAATTAATTTAGCCTTGCTTCCATCACCACTTCATCATCCATCCATTCCATCACTTCCTGAAAAATTCAAAGGAAGTCAAACAAGGTCAATATTCGAATGCAAGACCTTTCTTTCTATTCTACAGTACTCTTCCTTACCTCTTTTGCTACCCCAATCATCAAACAAATGAAACAAATGAAATGAATGGAGGCACAAAAGCCCTTATGAGAAGTGTTAGTCACTAATACTGAAGGTTAAATAGGGTCAGCTGCTGCCATGAAATCCAGATGTCTTTGGATAACTAGCTCTTCCCCAAAGCTTACGGAGATATGGCCGTATATGTTGTTATATTCAGATTTTGTCAATGTAAACCTCATCAGCCTGTCTCTGAATCAGGTAGTCCATATCTATACCACGAATTGCCCAAAGGTGAAGTTTTTAATACAATGTTGAGTTCAAATTTCTATTTTTTGAAATCATTGCCTTGATTGGCAGTTTTAAGTAGGTAAAATGATGAAAACAGGATTCTCCACTACATTTTGGAGAGTTTAAACTTCTTCCGTGGTTGGAGAAAGGAGCTTCACAAAGCACAGAAACTCAATTCTGCCTCTAATGCCATCACGGCCTCTTGATCTTCCAGGAGGTAAGATTTCCTTCCAGAGAATTATGAATCAGATATTTAAAGTAACATCTCAGAGACAGTGCAAACCATAAATCCGCTAACTCTTTTATTCTGGGCTTATGTGTGGTATGACAGACAAGGAATTCAGATCTACATAATAAAAGTAGCCAGTATATCCTTGCTAATGGTGGACTTACTGCCACTGGAATTACTGTCCTAAAGAAATGCTTTAAAAAAAAGTCTCCTGGACTTCATTTTATTCTGGCTGACTTCCTGGCTTTCCAAAATAGTGATAGAAGTCAAGACCCAAAAGGGAGACCAGAGCCAAAAAAGAAGGAGGATAGATGTCACACAGACATAACACAGATCGGCTAAACCCACCTTCACTTAACAAACACTAGATAGTGAAGGCAGAAAATAGAACCCTCAAACTTTATAGAATAAACTCAGACAATTTCAAACAAACATGTAGAGATGGGAAGTGTAGTGTGTATGTTCATAGTATTTAATTCTTTCCTTTAAACTGTAAATCTGCTAACAAATAACTACAGAAATTGCTTTTGATCTCAACAAATCTAGTCTGACTTGCACTTGGAGTCTAAGGCTGTGACACTGAATGTAGAGATGTGTTTTCTCTTCCCTTCCAGACCTAGGCTTGGCTGGGAACAAGAGCTTCAAATCAGACTCTTTTAGGTTTTCCTAACAAGACTGCTGCAAATGAGGTAAACCACAACAAAAATTGAATAATAATGCTAAACTTTGCAGAAAATAATGTCTCAACCTACGTGCAATCTTCATAGCTTCATCTTATTTGCTGCTTATGATTTTAAATTATCCCTTTCTAATGGTCAAATGCCATGTCAGTAAAAGAGTTCTGGGGCTGCTTCCATTTATGAGGCTAGGATTTTTTTAATCTTTAGCCTCTCAAACCGATTTAAATGTATTTATTTGGCTCACAAAGCACTGTTTTACTCAAGGAATACAATATTTTGAGTATAGAAAGAGCAAAAGTAATTCTAACTGTTGAATAACTTATAATTTGGTAAAATGTATGGTAAAGGTTTGTGTGTATAAATTTATGTGGAATAAAGATATTGATATTTTCAAAAGTAATATGAAATGTGACAATATAAAGCTGTTTAGTGAGGCTGTCTGTTAAGTCTGTAGCAGACGGTCTGAGAGTATTAGTTTCTTTTTTGTTCTTTTTATGCAAAAAGACAGCTTGGAGAGAGCATCAGTTTCGGTTCAGACCCTACAATGTCTGTTGTTCCCTTTTTGCTCCTATCCTCCTACCCACACTCCAGTCATGCCTCTCCCCACACTTTTAAGTGATGGAATTCATTCAAATTCAGTCTATATTCTAATCTTTCTCAAATCTATCTGATCATAAGAAGCAATTAAAGTACTTATTAAAAACAGATTGTGGTGGGCATGGTAATGGGCACCTGTAGTCCCAGATATTTGGGAGGTTGAGGCAGAAAGGTCACTTGAGCCCGGGAGTTAGAGACTGTAGTGCATTATGATTGTGCCTGTGAATAACCACTGTACTCCAGCCTGGGCAATATAACGAGACACCTGTCTGTAAACAAAACAAACAATACAAATTGTCAGTTCTCAACCCTGGAAACTTTCACTCAGTAGGTCTGGGTTAGAGCTTAGGAATGTCTATTTTGAATGATTGCCAGGGATCCCTATGATCCAACAAGTTTGAAAACACTGCACGAGGCCGTCTTACTCATCCCTCTGGTTTTAGAAACCATCTACATTCTGGGGATGTCTCAATTTATAGATTCTGTTCAGACATCTCTTATATATCTATTTGACAACATTGCTTAGATTTCTTATATGCTTCCTAAATTTAACATGTCTAAAATGTATCTGAGGATTATCTACCCCATATATACTCTTATTCCAGTCTTTTTTCTACAAATGACACTAGAATCCACCTAGTTGCCTAAAAACCTTGTGGAAGTCATTGATACCTCTTTCATGCTTAACTCCTCTATCTAACCCATCACCAAGATCTGTGAACCAGACACCCAAAACATATGTCACTCATCCACTGTCATCTTTCGCATCTTCACTGCCGCTGCCCCTGGATATAAGTCATCACTTGCCTTGCCTGAAGATCTGTGATAGCCCCTTAATTTCTCTCCCTCATTCTACTCTTTCTTCTTTCCTATTCATTCTCCATGCAGCAGCCACATGATCTTCTTAAAATGTAACTTGGATCACTCCTTGCTCGAGAATCTTTAATGAGGTTTCTTAGTACTTAGGATACATTCCAGTTCTTATCCTATGTTGGATGAGTGACCCCATTTACCTCTCCAGCCGCATCTCATGCTACCCTTCTACTTACTGCGCTCTAGGCTGTTTCTCGCTCAACAATCCCTAATAATCATCTAGTCTTAGTTTCTCTTAAATGTCATTGCCATAGAAAAGCCTTCCCTGACCACTATTCCCTCAAACTAAATTACCATGTCTCTCAGAATCTCTTGTACTTTTTTCCTTCTTAATGCTTATATGTTTATTTTAGCTCTTTTGGTAATGTGTTTAATGGCTGTTTGCCCCACTGAGCTGCATACCCATGAAATCAGGAATTATTCATATTTTACTAAAGACTTTTCTACCAGTGCTTGGTAGGTTTGGCACATGCTAAGTTCTCAATAACTGCTTTTCGAATAAATAAGTGATTGTTAGGTATCGAAGACACTTAAGGGAACTACAAAAGTAATAATAATCCCAGCTTATATGGAGTTAACATTCAATGAGGGAGCTGTTATTACCTAGGGTATTAATATGTTTGTGACCAAAAAAATCGAGTTTTTTGGTTTCACTCTTGTTGCCCAAGCTGGAGTGCAATGGCACAATCTCAGCACATTGCAACCTCCACCTTCTGGGTTCATTCAATTCTCCTGCCTCAGCCTCCTGAGTAGCTGGGATTACAGGTGAGCACCACCACTCCCAGCTAATTTTTTTTTTGCATTTTTAGTAGAAACGGAGTTTTGGCCAGGCGCGGTGGCTCAAGCCTGTAATCCCAGCATTTTGGGAGGCCGAGGCGGGTGGATCACAAGGTCAACAGATCGAGACCATCCTGGTCAACATGGTGAAACCCCGTCTCTACTAAAAATACAAAACATTAGCTGGGCATGGGGGCACGTGCCTGTAATCCCAGCTACTCAGGAGGCTGAGGCAGGAGAATTGCCTGAATCCAGGAGGCGGAGGTTGCGGTGAGCCGAGATCGCGCCATTGCACTCCAGCCTGGGTAACAAGAGCGAAACTAAAAAAAAACAAAAACAAAAAAACAAACAAAAAAAAAACAACGGAGTTTCATCATGTTAGCCAGGCTGGTATTGAACTCCTGACCTCAGGGTGATCTGCCTGCCTTGGCCTCCCCAAGTGCTGGGATTACAGGTGTGAGCTACAACACCTGGCCAAAATGAAAATTTTTATTACAAAAAAAAAAAAAAAACACTTGAACAACATGAAAACACATTTTATAACATTCATTTGTTCTGTATAATAGCAGTCCTTACTGATATAATAGTGGTAATTACTGGTCATGTCAGCATTTGTACCATTTTGACTATTTAAAAACTTGTAAATGAATAAAGTTTCCAAATAATTTGTGTTTAGAAACGATTTAGAAGAGATTTTAATTTTATCCCCAACTACTCCATTTGTATGATTGATCCTAACTTCTGGAGATATTCTTCAAATGTGTAGGGTTGAGCCCTAGCTGAAGGCCTCATGCTTTCATGCCCTTTGCTTGTGCACCCACTAACAAGCCAGGGTGAGGAGAGGCAAAGACAGCAGCATTTACCTACAGAATCTTTTCCTGGCAGGAGCAAAATTGATAGTGGAACACATGAGGGCAGTTCCACAGGGTCCTTGAAAAAAGTGTTGGATTTGTCAAGAAAAATATGATTCGTTAGTGAGCAAGAAAGAGAACAAGACAATTTAAAAACATTTCCATTAAAGATGAGCATGTCAATTTCAGGTGAGCCTGAGCTAATGGAACTAAGTTAACAGAATTCTCAAAAACCGTGCCAGAAATGTTTTACAGAAATTCTAGAAAAAGAAGAAAGCCTATATGTCCAAACCCTAGAGTGTGTTTAATGTGAACTCCATGCCTATAGCAATGTGAATCATGCAATTGTAGCCAACTAATACCTCATGGAAAAAGAGAAGCCCAAAATGCCATTTTAAATCAGAAAACAGAGTCAGGTGTGGTGGTATGCACCTGTAGTTCCAGCTACCGGGGAGGCTGAGGTGGGAGGATTGCTTGAGCCTGGGAGGTAGAGGCTGCAGTGAGCTGTGAGTGAGTGACTGTACTCCAGACTGGGCAACAGAGCAAGAACCCTGTCTCAAAAGTAAATAAATAAATAAAATAAAAATTAAAATAATTAGAAACTAGTAAGTATGGTCCATTTTAATATTAGATTTTCCTTACACTCTAAAGGAAAAACGTTGTTCAGCCTTTCATTGCCTTGACAGCACAAGATCCTGCATCAAAATGTCAGCTACAGATTTCTAAGCAACAGTTTCCTTTTGTAACATGGCACACATCATAATTCCTTCATCCTCGTTCTCCCTGAAAAAGAGGGAAAGTATAACCCACTAACCAGCAGTCAAGCACTCTTTTCTTCAAAATGCTGGAAAAAGAAAGAAGGAAAGAAGGGAAATAAGGGAGGGAAGGAAGGGAGGGAGGGAGGGAAGGGAGGAAGGAAGGGAGGAAGGGGAAGGAAGGAAGGGGAAGAAAGGAATGAAGGAAGGAAGGGGAAGGAAGTGAAGGAAGGAATGAAAGGGAGGGAAGGGAGAAAGGAAGGAAAGAAGGGGGCCAAAAAAAGTGGAACTGATGCCTGTGGGTTGCTAAAACACATGAGCAACAAAGAGTAATAGTACCTTTCATAGTTTAGTATTAATAATATTAGTATTTTTTCTCTTTCTCTAAAGGATTCTTCGTAAAACTAACCTTCATGGTTCCTCTCACGTCCCCACATCTTTCTTCCATGAATCAGAAGTCCCAAAACAAGCTAGTTAGGTGCAGGCAAGAATAATACTGTTACTTTTATGAAATTGAAATATATATATATAATCCTTTTCACATCCAGAATAAAGAATGAGAATACACTTACCAAAGAATACCTCAGAGACATGGCTAAACTCCCAAATGGAGTGAATAATTGAAGGAAACAAAAAATGCATGATTCCATTTGAATTCAACTCTGCTAAGACGCAGTTGAAATTAAACCTAGCCATTTTAACAAGCAGACGCCAGGCATATTTGTTCTATGTCCAAGAACAAATGTGCCTCATTTTTGTCAATCTCTATAATACTCTAATTATTTATTATTATTATTATTATTTTTTTTTTTGAGACAGAGTTTCGCTCTTGTTACCCAGACTGGAGTGCAATGGAGCGATCTCGGCTCACCGCATCCTCCGCCTCCTGGGTTCAGGCAATTCTCCTGCCTCAGTCTCCTGAGTAGCTGGGATTACAGGCACGTGCCACCGTGCCCAGCTAATTTTTTTTGTATTTTTAATAGAGATGGGGTTTCACCATGTTGACCAGGATGGTCTCGATCTGTTGACCTCGTGATCCACCCGCCTCGGCCTCCCAAAGTGCTGGGATTACAGGCTTGAGCCACCTCACCCGGCCCAATTATTCTTACCAATAAAGAATGAAGACTGGGGCCGGGCACGGTGGCTCATGCCTGTAATCCCAGCACTTTGGGAGGCCGAGGTGGGTGGATCACGAGGTCGAGAGATCGAGACCATCCTGGTCAACATGGTGAAATCCCGTCTTTACTAAAAATACAAAAAATTAGCTGGGCACGGTGGTGCGTGCCTGTAATCCCAGCTACTCAGGAGGCTGAGTGAGTAGAATCGCCTGAACCCAGGAGGCAGAGGTTGCAGTGAGCCGAGATCGCACCATTGCAATCCATCCTGGGTAACAAGAGTGAAATTCCGTCTCAAAAAAAAAAAAAAAAAAGAATGAAGACTGGAAGGTGGCATGTGTAGGCATCACCAGACCCACCTAATTTTTCAGATGTTAAGTACTGTCAAACCTGTGAAGCAAAACTTTTATAAATGATATCAAGGTAAAATTTGAAATGCCAGTTAGGTGAAAACAATGAACTGTTTCATTTCAGAAAAGAAAATGTAACACTTATCACTTGATTCGTGGGAGAAAACATCCTCAAGTCTCTCTTTAAATGAAGGAAGGAAGGAAGGAGGATAAGAGGAGAGCACTTGAGATTTCATAACTGTGAAAGGCCTTGATAGTGTGGCTAACACAGAATGGTTATGATATACACCCTTAAATTATAGGATCTTAAGGCAAAAAAAAGATCTTCCAAAAAACAATACAAAAAAAGCCTAGAATCAAAACTGCACATGGAATGCAATACTAATATGTTTTAAAATGCTTACTACCCTAGGAAAATTTATCCACCATCAGGGACGATTATTTTTAGAACATCACATTATAGTTGATTTAAAAAAAATTTTTTTTTACAATAAGCATAATTTATAGTCAGAAAACAAAACAATAAGGCTAATTTCTAATGGGCATTTTTCTTGTCAACAAGAAATTTTGTTTGTGTTGAATACCATAACACATAATAGCATAAAATATCATTATAATTATTACAATATCATTACAGGTGCTCCAGAAATGATATTAAAGTTGTGGGGACCCTAGAAGTGGAAATTATTCATACTTCCTGGAGTAACAAGGAAAGTTGCCTATGAGGGAGAATTTAGAATTGGTTCTAAAGAATGAGAAGAGCACTTACTTTTTGTTTGCAGAAAGGGCATGGTGAGAACACCCTGGTCGAGAGATGTGTTTAAGACGTGTATTTAATTTGGCATGCTTGGTGAGGGGAGCCAGAAGGTCAAAGGTCTTGTAAGCCACCACCTTCATCATCATCATAGCTGACATTTAAAAAAATTCCAAGTTATGTATCAGGTGCCATTCTAACACTATAACTTACTTTTCATCTTATCTAATTTTTGACATAACCCTGGGGGTAGGTACTCATCCACATTTTATAGATGAGACGCTAAGACAGAGTGAGTAAGTAACTTGTCCAGGATAACATTAAACATTCCTGTTAAGTGATACCAGTTTAGTGAGACTACTTAAAGGATTGAACATATGTGTTAGATTCACATTGATTGAACAAGCAGAACTCACTCTTGAGCAGAAGTTCCTATTGCTGTCTCATCCTACACACCATTTTCAAACTCAAAAGCCCAGAGCTGTTATTATTTTTCTATCACTGGCTATTCTTTCTCTCTTGCCATTCATGCATTGTCATTTCACTGAAAGTTTCCTACATTCGTCCTTGTATTGTCTTCCCGTCTCTGCTCAGGTGTAAGTGGCATAGCAGAAATGAGAGGCTGCGCTGTCTGCATGCAAAGCTGGACCATAGCACCACTGCTTCCCTGGAGAACATTTTGCTTTACCCTGTAAGCATATCCTGGAAGCACCCTCTCTTCAAAGCAGGGGTGTGTGAGAACTCATTTCCGTAACAATGTGGAGCACATCAAGAAAGATTGTATTGAAACTTCCAGATAGAACTTACGGGGACCCAGACCCAGCAGTGGCTGTGAGGATGAAGAGTCAGTGGGATCTGGGACCTCAGATAGATCCGAGAAATATGCAGTAGAGGGGATGAACAGCGTTGTATAGATCCTTGATGTGAGAAGGAAAAGCGAGATGAATGACGATGATATGAACTAGGGAAAAATAAGAAAGAAATAACTTTTATTTTAGGAAAACATTTTTCAAATTAAATGGGCTGAAGGACTTTAGAGTGATTACAGATGCTATTAGGGTGACCTCATTTACACCAAGAAAAATATCCAGAATGGCTTTCTTTTTGCACTGTCATCTATCAAAATTATCTATATAAAGTACATCCTAGAAACAAATGTGCAGAATTAAAAAGAAGGAACACATGCTGTCTGACCTCAAAGAGGTTAAAAGCCTGGTTGAGAGAAAGCATGAGGTAAAGGAGAAAGAATACAAGGAACAGGAGGCACTCTAAACAAATGGATGAATGTGCGTCCTCCCCTGTACCAGACAGGATTTATGGCATAGCTGTGGTTGCAACCAGGGAGGTATTCCAGGAGCCTCAGCATATGTATCAGCTTTTAAAAGCTTGGAGGAAGGAAAAGACAAGGTTTACTTGAGAGATGGTAAGTTTGGCTGTAATGGAGATCTCAGGAAATAGGTTGAAAGTGAGTCTTGAGAGGAGAAAGTTTGTGAAAAGGCAGAACTAGGAGTTTGAGATGTGGGTAAAGGAAATTCACTGAGGAATTTTGATCAAGGCAAAGAATACCATTGAAGCAGGTTCTTGAAAGAGGGCCTGTGGGTCTACCTGTAAAAGGCAGAAAGTTGAGGCATTATCCAAACACAGGAGAATTCATGCCTAGGCTCCATGGGCATCATCACAAAGAGGAAGAATGTGACTGAATTAAGTGGTATTTCAAAGAAAGAATGAATAGGAAAACGGTAGCATTTGGGATTAAGAAGAAGAAAGAGTCAAAAAAGAATCCTGGAGCGATGTACAGGTTATAAAATTGGAAATCGTATACTAGAGCCAATCAGTTATCACATTCTTTCCTTTCCTTCCCCCACTCCAGTACCCTACTGCTCTGTGAGGTTAGAGTTTTGGGCTTTCCTCAGTTAGAACCAGGGTTTATGTTGTAAATTGGTATTATTGACATGAAAATGGATTCACAGTAAACAATTATAAGTCTGTTGTTTTTGTTTTTGTAGAGACGGGTTCTTGCTATCTTGGCCAGGCTGGTCTCAAACTTCCTGGGTCAAGTGATCCTCCCATCTCAGCCTCCCAAATTGCTGGCATTATAGGCATGAGCCACAACAACTGGCCATAAGGTATTTTTAAAATAGTTAAGTTTAGTTTTTATCCTTTGAGTTTTATAATGGTCTTTGATCTCAGAACAGTAAAATGGTGACTGGATCCATATCTTTAACAACAGGAAAACCAACAGTGGTACATGCTGTATTTTTCTTACACTTAAACAAAATACTTCCTTAGGAGTCTTAGTATGTGAGTGTTGCTATAACAGCATAGCAAAGATTGAGTATTTTATAAAGAACAGAAATTTATTTATCACAGTTCTGGAAACTGGGTTATCCAAGACCAAGGTGCCAACAGATTCAATGTCCTTTTTTTTCTTTTCTTTTCTTTTTTTTTTTTTTTTGAGATGGAACCTCACTTTGTCCCCCAGGCTGGAGTGCAGTGGCACAATCTCAGCTCACTGCAACCTCTGCTTTCCGGGTTCAAGATCCTCCTGCCTTGGCCTCCTAAGTAGCTAGAATTACAAGTGCTTGCCACCATACCTGGCTTTTTTTTTTTTTTGTATATTTTTTAGTACAGATGGGGTTTCACCATGTTGGCCAGGCTGGTCTCAAACTCCTGACCTCAGGTGATTCACCCACCTTGGCCTCCCAAAGTGCTGGGATTACAGGTATGAGCCACTGCACCTGGCTAAATTCAATGTCTTGTGCGGGCTGATGCCTGTCTCTAAAAGGTGCCATGTGAGGTGTCTCACATGGCAGAAGGCAGAAGGCAAAGACACTAAGACATTCATTTCAGCCTCTTTTATAAAATTACTAATCCAGTCCTGAGGGCAGAGTTCCTGTGACTGAATCCTTCTTAAACGTCTCCACCTCTTAACACCATCGTCTTCAGATCTAAGTTCCAACATGTGAACTTTGGAGGGACACACATTTAAATCATAGCACCATGGAAGCAAATATTGTTCTGAGGTCTTACAATAGTGATGTTGGGTTGAATTTCTGAACTCACAAAACTGCCATTATAAATCCATTTTAGTGCCAATCTACATAAAAATAAAAATGTTAAGAATAAATTTTCCCTAGTGCCTTTTAATCATCAAAAGTTAGGGAAAGATACATTAGCTGTTAGAGAGGAATGCACACTCCTAGTTTCTCTTGCTACCATATGAACTTTTCCAGAAAAAATTCTGTCCTCTCTTTGTTGTCTATAATCCATGAAGAAGATTGCCTTGTCTAATGTGCAAGTTTGAAAGAAAGGGTTAAGGTTCTTTGTCTCAGCTTCTGAGTCTCATTCTCTCCTTTGAAATCAGCATGACCATTGGGGTCATGAGCTCTGGTCTGCTCTGAGCCATCTGCCTTGTAGAGGACAGTAGCCATCCAGCCGAATTCAGACCTGGGCTTATTGGCTGTGCCTGGATACACTCTAGACACACCAAAAATGTTTTAGCATATACCACCCACGTAAAGTTTAAAAAAATATATGTGTGAAACTCTGTGCAAATTGCTTTAAAAGCCTACAGCACCCGGTATTCCCAGGTGGTCTCCCATCCAGGTACTAACCAGACCTAATCCTGCTTAGCTTCTGAGATCAGAGGAGATCAGGTGCGTTCAAGGTGGTATGGCCATAGACGCCATTATTTAAATTTTTATTCTATTTTATTTTTCAAAATTTCCAGTCATATCCTCTAGATAGATTTCACAACCCACTAATGAACCATGATTCAAAGTCTCAAAGCACATCCCAGATACCCTCTGCCTTGCCCCATCGTCTAAGGAGAATCTTCTTAATTCAAGTCTCTCCCACCCCACACCTGACAGTTCCAGAATGTAGGTTTTCTCCCCATCACCACCTCTGAAACATTGGCACATGTTCTAATAATTTCTCATTTCTCATCAGGACTATTGGAGTAGTACAAATAGGAGTAATATAACAGTAATAATAGTAAATCTAGAACCCGTGTTCATTAAGAGCCTACTGCATACCAGAGGCTGTTCTTGGAGCTCTCCATGTAGCAACGTCTTATTGAATCCAAGCAACAACCTAAAGTATTCTCTCCACACGGGTCCTCTTGCCTCTAGACATGCTGACTCTTTGCTCCATCTGAGCTCCCTCCACACTACTTTCAGTGTGATTCTAAAATACAAATGGAATCACGTCATTCTAATTTTCGATATGGATCAATTTATAGGACAAGCTCCTCAGCAAAAGCAGCAGTCCTGTCAGGACTTGCCCCTAGACTTATCTAGCAGCATTCCACTAGCAGCTTCAGCTCGGAATGCTCCCCATCCCCTATCTACCAAGAGCTGCTTTGATGCCTTGCGGACTCCTTACTCCAGATTCAGCCATCCTCTGTGTTTCCAGGGACTCTGGTTTATATCGCTCACCGATCATTTTTTTGTTGTTGTAGTAGGTTATTTACGGGCCTGTCTCTCCCACTAGACTGCAAGCCGCTGGAGGGTCAGCACTGACACTGTTTCATGTTTGCATTTCAGTTTTCATTACTGCTATCTAACCACTTCATGCCGGAGCCACTGTTAGTCTTCTTTTTCTTCCTGACACTAATGTTACTTGAATAACATTTAGCCTGCAATTGCCAAATGTATTGATTACGATCTACTTCTGCTCAAACGATAGCTCCCCATTACTTGTCCCGTTATATCTAAATTTCCTGAAATGCATTTTAGAGACCTTTATAATTGGGTCACTCTGTACAAATATAACCTTATTCCTCACTTCAGTAGGCCTAAAAATTCTCAGCTTTCACCTTTATGGGTTTTATTATACTCAGTGATAACAATGTTCCTTGACGTGGTCATTTGTAAATTTTTGGAGGCCGAATCTTTAAAACAAAGGGACCATTTGAGAACCAAAGGCTTACCACCGAGGGAATCTAGCCAACTGCCCAACATCCATGTAAATGGCTTTGTTCAATATTATGAAAGAAGTAACTCTAACTCTACCTAGAATCGTGAATACAGGAATGAGATGATTAAATACTTTTAATTATATGTTACTTTATTTCATGGAGTAAACAATATGCTACGATGGTACACTTAAATTTGAAACTATGCAAGACTTGGCATATATCACCCTCTAACGCATTATCAGTGCAGTTGCTTCTCGGAATCCTAAACTGTTATTTTTCTGTTGTTAACATTGCCTACGGAGCCCAGATTCCTTGCATGTAATTTTCCCTCTACATTCTTGCCAAATGAATGAATGAGTCAATTGATAAGAGGACAAAATGGAACTCAAATAATTTAGACTTAAGACATGATGAATTTAACAGCTACTTACAAACACAGGTAATGACTGAAACAGTCTATTAGATCCAGAAGACATAAATGTGTGGGAGAGAAGCAAAAAAAAATAAAATAAAATAAAAAAAAATAAGTACTGCCATGAATGTGCTAGATTAAGGGTTTCTAGACAGGTAGACAGAAACAACACTACGGAAAACAAATACAAACATTTCGCTTCAAAGAGGTAAGAAGGGCTTCTTTCTTCATTTTATTATTTCTCAAGTAATATGAAGTTAAATAATTAAATTATTACACAATAAAAGCAATTGATGATATAATCTTAGCATTTCTTCTGATCCTTGATAATGGCTTTATTTGATATTGAAATCAGACTTCCTGTTTACCACATTGAATCTAGCCTATTTTGCTTGATTTTCAAGGTCTTCTAAAATATGGACCAACCCGATGTTCCCAAATCTATTCCCTTTTCCTACTCACCTGAATGCCTGGTACTCTAGTCTAGTCAAGGAGCATCCTTAGTGTCTGCCAAACTGCCCCGTTGGTTAGTATTCCCCTTGCAAAAGACAAAGGTATGCATTCCATATTATGCCTAGTACAGCCATGGACACATAGCAGGAATTCAACAAACAATTGAAGTTCAGCCAGCAAAATTAGTTGACAAGTATTGAAAAATCTGTACTATTTGTTGAGAACTTGCTAGGTATAGTTGAGGATTCAAGTGTAGACTACATAGGCTCTTTCCTCATGAAGTGAGTTATTTGTCTTAAAGCAATGAGCAGTAAAATGCAAAACAACACATAAATAGGTGCTAGATATCATCATACAATTTTTTTGCAGTTTTTATGGTCCTTGACTTCATATTAGGAGATTATTCCTTCTTCAGGAACAGCAGCACAATTATTGTATGTACCCATCAGTATTTAGGTCCACATAATTACACACATAATTGAATAATGTTGTGCAGAGCAATTATGCATTAGGAATTTGAACAGTGGTGAAATTGATGGGGGGCAAGATGGCCAACTAGAAGCAGCAGTGATTAGAGGTTCCCATCGAAAAGATCCAAAACAGCATGTGAAATCTTCACTGGCAACCAAAGTATCGAGGTTCTGTCATCAGGACCGAATAGACAGCTAGTGTGACCCACGAAGAGGAAGGAAGAGCAGTGCGGTGTGGCAGCCCACCTAAGAGCCACGTGGGGTAAGGGATTCCCCTAATCCCAGCCAAAGGAGGTGGTGAATGAGCATGCTACCCAGCCTGGCAAACAGTGCTTTTTTCATGGAACTGTACAACCTATTAAATTATCTCTTGATCCAAGTGGATCTCTCGATCCTATTTACGTGTTGTTTTGTATTTTACTGTTTATTGCTTTAAGACAAATAAATCACTTCTTGAGGAAAGATTCTATGTAGTCTACATTTGAATCCTCAACCATACCTAGCAAGTTCTCAACAAACAGTACAGATTTTTCAATACTTGCCAACTTTTTTGCTGGCTGAACTTCAGTCGAAAGATCCCACTTGAGAGCCAATGCCATGGGGTCCTTGGGCCCCAACCATGGAGCCACATAGATTCTCAACACCCACTCAGCTAGAATTGGCCTAAGCCTATCAGGCTCCTGGAGGAGGGGCAGCCATAACTACTGCTACAGCTGCCTGTGGTCTAAGCCATCTGAGCTCCTTGTTGGAGGGGGCAGCCAACACTGAGGCTGCAGGGCTTCCCTGCAAGAACTCCACCTCCAGCTGGGGGCTCAGGGACAGAACTCTAATCTTGGTGGGCCTGAGCCCCTGGGGGAGGGCTGGCCATAGGCTCCATGGACCAGCAGACTTAGTCTTTTCTTTTGCTAGCTCTGGGGAATCAGGACTGCCCAGAGGAGTAGGTTTTCCCACAGTATAGCACACCCCTTCCACCAAGGGACAGCAAAAATGCCTCATTTGAAGTGCCACACAACTGGGTGAGACTCCCAACAGGAGTTTTCAAGCATTCTATACAGGAGCATTTCTGCTGGCATCAGCTTAGTGCCCCTCGAGGTCAGAAATCCCAGAGTGAAAAACAAGCACCCATCTTTGCTGTCCTTCACAATCCTCGAGTCACGTCTTCAGGCATGGGAGTGAACCAGATGAATAAGGTCTGAAGAAAACCCCCAGCAAACCACAGCAGTCCTACAGAAGTGGTGCCTGACTAATGTAAGAAAAACAAAGGAACAGAAAGCAACAACAGCATCAACAACAAAAAAAAAGTCCCTGCAAAAACCTCATCCAACTGTCAGCAGCCTCAAAGATCAAAACTGGACAAACTCATAAAGATAAGAAAGAATCAGTGAAAAAAAGGCCAAAAACCCAAAAGGCCAGAGTGTCTCTTCTCTTCCAAATGATCACCACAACTTTCCAGCAAGGGCACAAAACTGGATGGAGGATGAGATGGACGAATCGACAGCAGTAGGCTTCTGAAGGTGAGTAATAACAAACTCTGCTGAGCTAAAGGAACATCTTCTAACCCGACACGAAGAAGCTAAGAAACTTGATCAAGTTTAGAGGAGCAGCTAACTAGAATAAGCAGTTTAGAGAGGAACATAAATGACCTGATGGAGCTGTAAAACACAGCACAAGAACTTCATGTTGTATACACAAGTATTAATTGCCAAGAACTTTGTGATGCATACACAAATATTTATAGCCAAATCAATCAAGCAGAAGAAAGACTATCAGAGGTGGGAGACTGTCTTGCTGAAATAAGACAGGTGGACAAGACTAGAGGAAAAAGAATGAACCAGAATGAACAAAACCTCTGAGAAATATGGGACTATGTAAAAAGAATGAACCTATGACTGATTGGAGTAACTGAAACAGATGGGGAGAACAGAACCAAGTTGGAAAACACGCTTCAGGATATTATTCAGGAGAAGTTCCCCAACCTAGCAAAAGAAGCCAACATTTAAATTCAGGAAATACAGACACCACTAAGATACTCCACAAGAAGACCAACCCCAAGAAACTTAATCATCAGATTCTCCAAGGTCAAAATGAAGGAAAAAATGTTAGAGAGAAAGGCCAGGTCACCTACAAAGAGAAGCCAATCAAACTAACAGCTAATTTCTCAGTAGAAATCCGACAAGCCAAAAGAGAGTGGGAGCAAATATTCAACGTTCTTAAAGAAAAGAATTTTCAACCCAGAATTTCATAGCAGGTCAAACTAAGCTTCGTAAGCAAAAGAGAAATAAAATCCTTTCCAGACAAGAAAATGCTGAGGGAATTTGTCCTGCCTTGCAAGAGCTCTTGAAGGAAGCACTAAATATGGAAAGGAATACCAGTAGCAGCCACTGAAAAACACGTGAAAATATAAAGACCAATGACACTATGAAGAAAT